GACCCCCCCCCCCCCCCCCGGTCAGTAAATTCGCGCTCTAACTGCTGAGCCAGTTGGTCACCTGGGCCATTTGAAAACTCCATGAGACCATGAGGAATTCATTCGGTTTCCAAAATCAAGGATAAAATATGACAAAAAAACACGTGATCCATTGAAGGTCACACTTTCTGGATATAAAGGTGACAAAAGTCAATCGTTCCACACAAGAAAACGGACGACTGCAGTTAATATTGGGCTGTCTTGCACAAAGGCCGTATAACACAGAGAAATCATACGGGGAGACATCTGTTTCGGGTGAAAAGTTACATATATCATTCCTTCATGGAGAAGAGGGTCCAGTATGGCACACATCCGACCTAGGTTGACCTACCTGTACGCCAGTACTATGAGGATTCCCTGTGCTCTTTCAACAAGAACCCCGTACTGTTCACCAAAGAAGGTACGTAAGCCGCTCAACCGATGGCGTTGTTTAACTGACTTTCAAGGTCGCATGAAATTTTGACAATGAGACAACAGGCACAATGCCACTGAAGGATCACGTGACACAAAGGTGTGCGCTTGTCACTCGTGTTTGTCAAGCCGATCATCCCGCGCGACTGCACTGCATACTTGTGCACTGACGAAATATGCAGCGGATGGGGCGGGAAGAAAAACTATAGTAACCTGAGCTGGATTGAAGTCTATGAATAACAGACTTTGGTGTGCCCAACGTATCTGAATTAGAATGTACATGGTAGTTGGCTCGACTAAATTTCCACAGCCCTTCACCTGTAATTCACATTAACCGTACCTAGCTGCTACCAACCTACTTGTGTTGAGAGACCTATGGGTATTTTGTTATATGAATGCTGTGTGAACGAATGCCATCTTAGGGAGATCGTGGATAATAACCCGTTACGCTGACTGGTTGTCGAGAAGCTGGAGATTCTAACTCAACCTAGAACCTCTGGAAACCGTTATTCGTGGTTGAATAGCACAACATTCGAGTAGAACTATTCAAAGAAGAACCGTGACAACAGGTTTGGAATAGTATGACCAGCGGTCGGACTGTCGGGTAACGGAAATGGATCAATACCCGTCATCCCATCTGTTGGCAGCTGTTGAAAATTTTTTTCTAGGCTTATTATCATCAACAATCTACTATTTGGTTGTTGGCGACCTTAGCCCAAATTTTTCTTAACACTTCTGACCGAAATCCCCACGTGAGTATTAAAAAGTCAAATCGACTTAAATCGAAATGAATCTCTCGCCAGGCCTCTCTTGGAAGTCCTCACTCATCGCAGAATCAGATATGATGTTGTGGCTGACGGAGACGCTGTAATGGACGCTTTGAGGAGATGAACCCGCTTCGGTCTTAAAAAAACACGTATCTTCGTAATTTCTGGATGGATTGTAAGATGAATATCTGGCATATTCCCTCGAGAACCTTGAAAAAAACTCTTGGTGTAATACCCCTCGAGGTGCAAATGACACGCAACCAGGAGAAGGCACAATGACTAAGATGACACAAAGTTGTCCAATTGTAGACTGAAGCAACTGAAACATCAGGGGTAGAATGGAACAGTGAACACCTTTGGGTGGTAGCTCACGCGTCAACTGATCAGATATGCGTCACTCCCCTGAATACTGAATCGGTATGGTTTAGAAGCAGTAGGAAGACATTACTGCGATTTAAAATGATATCGAGATTTGAAGATGAATGAATCAAAGAAATCAAAGAAGCAAAGAAAAACACACTTTCGATGCGTAGTTGCCATGCCAACAGAGGAGAGCACGACGGCTAGGATATTGCCAGGTTGCCCAAGCCTAGGGGAAGTCGGGATGCAGAGATCGGGTTCGAACCACAGACCTTCCGGTTAGTCAATTCGTGCTCTAACCACTTGACCATCTTGGCCCCTTGTAGGGTTACAAAATGTCTGCAAGTCAGGTGCCAAGCTCGGTGAACAGATCAACCCCAATCTGACCGATAAATTTAGGGGATATCATGTGTGTATATGTATGTGATATTTTTTCCATGAGTGACGTACAGAAAAGGACTTGTTTTAAACAGTATGGTCCAATCTCCAAGGTCATGTGTGACTTGTTGTCGGTCACGAGGAATGATAGACAGCGATTGGTTTTTTGAATCAGTCAGAGAGAAGTGTGTCAAAAGTTACATAAGGAAAATACTAGCGTACAAGGATACCGATATAATGAACGAAAAAACAACGGCTACCTACTTCCATGCTAACACATTTGTGGCACTGGGTGAACTCTAACATATCACCGGAATTCGGTTCAGTGAGGCGCTCATACCTACTCTGTCATTCTGATGGTAATGTCACTAAGATGGAATTTTTTTATTAGTGCTTCCCCCAAGTAGAAGTCCCTTCAGTTTATCTGTCGGTATCCACAACACAACGCTTGCAGCTTCGGTATGTCTGTATTACGTGTGGTTGATTGTTGCCAAATTATTTTAACAACAACCCCATTTGTTCCGTTCCATTTGTTGACAAT